AAAGACCACTGGGCTGGACATTATGACTGATACAATAATGGGCAAAAAAAACATAAAACCGAGAGAAGCAAAACAAACCAAATGTTCGCAAATTGTCACTTGAGGGTGGTGATGGAGGCTGCCATCGTGTTATGGGTCACGTGCTAACTTTGCAGTGGAGAGGGGGAGACAGAGCCTGGGCGTGAATGTGGCCCGCCACAGAGGCACATTGGTAATTTTCACTTTGCAAGGCACACTGTCTCTGCCTGCCTGCCTCCATCCCTCCCTTCCAGAACCCGATGAAGCAATAACAAAAAGCCCTGTGCTCCCCGAGGCTAACTTTAAGCAGTCAGACGTACCAACTGTTGAGTTCACTTCTAATTAATAATAACCACAAACAAGACGTTGGCGTGGTCAGCGGTGTCAATATCTTTTAGGGTGGCTCTACTTATCGCTCCCTAAAATCTAACGCCATATTCTCGACGGGATTTTCCCGATGCATTGCAACTGTTTTATCCCATTTAAATCATATCTTATTCTTCGGTGATTTTAATATTCGTCTGATCCTCCAAACTCTTCATTTGCGAAGGAATGTTTAGCCCTGCTGGATCGTGTTGGTTCTTCCCAACATGAAAACTTTCCTACTCACAATCTTGGTCATACCCTTGATCTAGTTATTACATCTGGCTTGTTCATATCCATTTTAAATTCGTGCAACATTGCTGTATCTCTCTTCCTTCCAATATTAGAGAACCACTGGAGCTATGCACTTTCAAATCTAAGTTGAAAACTCATTTCTGTAGAGCTACTTTTTGTTTAGTTTGTTCTCCTTCCTCCGCACCTCTGATTAGCACGGTTGGCCACTTTCATTGAATCAAACAAACCATCAACTGTAGGAATTTAAAATCTTTAAACACAACTAAGTTTGTCGAGTAAATTTTACTATTCTTACCCTCAAACTTTCAGTTTCTTTCTTGGGAGGACAAGCTTCTTCTCCAGAATGCACTCTCTGATACTCTCGACTCATTGGTGCCACCTAAATCACACCTTGTCTGCTACAATCGGTGATCTCCTTGGCATACCGAAAAATCTGCACTTCTTGGACAGTGGGACACGGGTCTGCAGATTCGTGATCACATCTGGAAGCAACATCAGGATAAATTTCGTTTTAAAGCTTTCGTGACTGCAGGGATTCATATTCTTGGTTCTTTCAGTAAAGTGACGTAGAAGGGAAATAATACAATAATAAAAATAAAACAGTAACATTTATTTAGAGAACTTTATAGTTTTATTTTTATTATTTCCCTTCTACCTGACTTTACCGAACGAACCAAGAATCTAACATCAGGATATTTTAAATGGACTAATTAAATTCGGCAAGGCCCACATTCTTCTCTACGCTAATCGCTATAGAAACTCAAGAATGCCTTTTACTACAACTGATGAAATGTTAAAATCTAATTCTAAACCAATCTTACCTGGTGCCATCGTCCAATGCAATAAAGTTTCTTGAATCGTTTCATTCCAAAATGTATTCTATCATGCAAAAGAGGAATTGCCCCTTCCACTCCTGAGTCACATCTAAACAATGCTCTCTGACTACATTCACTGTGCCCCCCATCACCCTCTCTGACCTGGCCTCCAAAGAGAAACCGTCAACTTGTTCCCGAGAGATCCGATTCCCACTTCACTGATTGTATCCAATGTCACGTCGTCTCCGCCCTGGTTGTGTCTACACTGAGTGAATCACTTAAGCACCGATGTAGTAGCCAGTGCTTTTAAATTGGTGACCGTTAGATGTCCACTTTTATGCTGATGACCCCGCAGATTTATGTTCGGGCTCTGACTGATACCAAAGTAGCCGTTTCCATACTATCACGTTGCAGATGCTCCTAAAGTTTGTTAAATTAAATTGTGGTAAGAGAGAGAGATGATGTTTTTGGGCTCCCCACATATAGTGTGCAAATTGGATGGTTTTAGTTTGGCTATTCTGTCTTCCTCTGAGGCCAGAAACTTGGCTGTTATCCTAGACCCCAGTTAGACATTTCAGGCCCACATACATAATACCACCAAAATCTTGTTAATCCACGTAAGCTACAAAGCTCCACTAAGACCTCATGCTGTCCCTTCCTGATCCTGAGAGGCTGATGCATGCCCTTATTTCATCAAGGTTGGACTACTGTAATGCCTTGGCTTTATTGTGTTTCTAAAAGTGTTTTAAGTAAACTACAAAAATATTCAAAACTCAGATGCCCGGGTTTTAAGCCAGATCTAAATCGTGTGATCAAGTGACTCCTATTATTTCCTTCCCTGCACTCGACTTAAATAATTCCTCTTCTCACGTTAAAGGCCTTGAATGAGTTGGCTTCTAAATATTTCACCGATCTGCTGAGGTTTTATATTCCACTGCAAATTAAAATCTTCTGATTCTGGTCTCCTAATCATGATTTCCCAAGGCCAGCCTGTGTTGTTCTGTGGGAAACTGAGCTTTTTGCAGCCAGCTTCCGCGATTGTGGAATGTCCCTTCCTCCCCGGCCAATTCGGGAATACAGTCTGTCACATTTATTTGGAATCGCATCTTAGAACTCACCTGTTTGTACAGCAGGCTTTCTCCATAACTTAAGCTTTTTTGTAAAGGGCTTTTGAGGCCTTGTTCGAATGGCGCCATAGAAAACCGAGTTAATCATGATGATCATTAAGGCCGTCTTTATTTTTTATTTTTCTCACCTTCAAATCGAATAAACTTAACTCGTTATCTGCATATATATATTGCGTATTCAGGTGAAAGCGCTGGGCCCGAGGCACGCACACACTCTGCGGATACGTTGAGAAGTAAATACGGCGGATAATTTTTTACCCTGCCAATGCCGACCATTTACACTGCTCAGGGCGGCTTTGCTACTTCGAGAACAGCAAACACGCCGCCGCCGCCGCCGCCGCCGCCGGCTCTCCTTGGCCGTGCGGCCATTAGCGGCAATGACGGCGTGCTCCGTCTAGCCGGGGCTCGCCGCACCGCCCAACTCCGTACCCATTTATACCCCGTAATGAGGAGGCTCTCGGGGGGAAATCCACAAAAAGCCACGGCGTCACCCGGCCGCTCCATCTGCTCCCGACCGCCGCGAAGGGCGACCGCGTCCCTCCGGTCCCCCGCGTGGTCACGGCGGCGGACGCGCGCCGCCGGGAGGCTGGCCTCTCGCCAAACCTCGCGCCGCCGCTCGCCCCACGGGGCAGGCACGGCCGTCCCGGCGCCGGTCCTCCCCGCCTCAAGGTTGCGTCGGCAAAACATCATTCGTGATTTTACGTTTCACGGAGAGAGGACCGCGCGCGGGCCCAGCGGCAGGCATGGGGTGGCGGGGGTATGACAGCCGCGGTGTTGATGAATGCGAGAGCGCAAATCGGTCCCCATGACGGTGTTACGCGCTAGATCAGGCGACCTTCAACGGGGTTGTTTTTTTTTGTTGTTGCCACTGCGCCCCCCACCCCCCCCCCCCCGCACCCCGCCGCTATTTTGCGCGAGCGATGGCAACGCGCGGGCGGCGAGGACGTCCGCTCGTTATCAAATCCGCAACGCGCACGAATACAACTCGAGAAAAAGGACGTTCAGGGGCGTGGACAAGAGCGGGTTCAAGAGAGCAAAATGCCTTTGAGGTGCTCACAAAGAGTCAACAGCGACGCAGCGCTGCGCGGGCGCACAGCGGCAGCGACGGACGGAGTGAAATTCCAGGCGACCGAAGCCGCGGCCAGAGCGGCGGGGACATCCGCCGCCTCGTCGGGCTCTCGAGACCACGGGAAGGGGGAGGCCGCTTTGAGACCAATCCGGAGGATGTGAGGTGAAACGTGGGGACGCTAACGAGGCCGGCCGCTCGTTGTAACGGGGGGAAGGATGCCGTTCTTCAACTGGAAGCCGGCGATGTGCATTTAGAAGGTCTGAGGATTTGATGGATTTGTCTAACAAATCTAGGTCATTTTACATTGAACGTTGCAAAGCCACTTCAACATAATTTTGAGATGCCTGATTGGCACACCACAGTGCTCGTATAATAACGGTTTAATCTATTATTTATGCAAATTAAACCTTAATTATGTAAAATAAACCTTTAGGCTCATTGTACAAAGGAGAATGAAAACGACAAAACGTACGAGACCCAGAGCACAAACGAGACACTGAAAACGAGACCAGAAATAACATCGAATATCTTCGCGACATAAGCCGAGAGATTATCGGATTTGCAGGGCGATCGATGGGGGTGGGTGCCGTGTCGCGACTGCGCGTGAGCGCGATGCGTCGATGCCAAGGGGAGCTGTGGGCACCACGAGAGGCACAGGCACCGGCTGCGGGTTACGGCAAGAGCGACGAGTAAGAGGTCACCTCGACGTACCACCTCAGCTAACCTACGTTGTTATTATTATTATTATTAATTTGACTACTCCTGTTTACCCAGCAATGCCTCATCCAGTCTCAAGACTCTGCTTTCCAGAGGGCTCCAGCTAAGCTTTCGCAGGAGGGGGTGACGATTGCTTGTGTTTTCATTAGCAATCGTCACCCATGATGCCAGTAAACACATCGGGGCCTCTGGTTTTTTTTCGAATGAAGCGACAAGATATGCAGTGCCCACTGTGAAGCAGATGGCGCGTAGTTCACGGTTAACAAACCTGCCGGGTTCAACACGTGAGCCTTTGGGCCACGTTAAATCAAACCGTGTATCTGGATCCCTTGTACCCATCTCGTCTGCATTCGCACGTAGACTTCACTTTGGTTTGGGCACCTTCAAATACCGCTCCCCATCCCCCCGCCCGGTTCGGCCTGTGAGCAGCGAGACGTTCCCAAGCATCCTCACGTCGGGCTGGGCTCAAGGGAGACCAGGCCACAAGCCCGGTCGAGGAGAAGGGGGGACGAACGACAGGGGCAGAGACACCCGCCAGGGACCCCACAAACTCGCAGAGAACGACTGACGTACAGAGTGAGAGTACAAATTTAATATACATGAAAATATAAAACTACAAATCAATGGAGAGGTCACCTCGAGGGTGGCGCCGATGCGAAGGCCACGGCCGAGGTGCAGGCCCTGCTGGTAGGCGAGGCAGAGGCCCACCTCGCCGTCGAGCTCGTACAAGCCGCCGTGCGCGTTGATTACGCGTGTGAGCACGCCCTGGTACGCGCACACACACACACACACGCACACAAAGATCCCCCGTGTAGCCTTAACAGACTGCAGGGGCAAGTGCTGTTAGCGAGCGCCTATGAAGGCCGGAACGATACACGAGGGGGTGGGTGGCCAGCACCATGCCCGACCGCCTTTGTCTCCCCAGTGGCGATGTTTACACACCACACCAGGTACTCATTTGAGGCTGAGTCGACCTAGGGGACCGGTTCAGATAATCGTCACTGGTGTTGGCCGTGAGCGGGAATAGAACCCGGGTCGCCGGGTTCATAGCGCAGCGTAGCGCTAACCGCGACACTACTGCTCCCCACACACACGTGCGGACAGTCACCCACCACAGTCATCGTCACCACCACTGTCACAGTTAACTATTATACTTTATTACCCAAGAAAGCCTCACCGAGTCTACTACTAAATTACAGGCCATGGTGGTGGTGGCTACGCTGCTGCACATGGCCACAGCCTGTAACCCAGCGACGTGGAGGCAGCAAGGGTTGGTGAATCACCGCACAAATGCTGCGAAACTCCCTTTCCGTGGACTTCGGGGTACCATACCCTGGCTCGCCAAGAGAGGCGGGTACAGCATGTGGATTCATCGCCATCTGTTTCTATCTGTTCGCGGGGGATAGAGCGTTGCCGCCTCGCGCAATGAGCGGGTTTTCTCCGCGTGCTCCGGTTTCCTCCCGAATACACACAACTCATCGTTAAACATTTTCAAATAAAATCCAAATGCAGGACCCTCCCGAAAAGAGTTCTGCAGCTCAGTGCGGCTCTCCCGAATAAATAAGTAATGTTCGGTAAATGTCAAAGAAAAGCTTTATGCGTGTGGAGCGTCTAAACGTGACTTTCATCACGAGCGATCGTACATTAGACATGAATGCTATTCGTCAATTAAAATCAATTGCGATAGAACCACACCTGGCGTCAATTTGTGCGCGGATGTCGATCGCGTATGATGCATGTGTACGTTTACGTGACTGATTCACACGCTCCTCAATGGTGTTTGCATTTAGAAAAAATCGTATTGACCGCCGCATGGAGTTTTGAGGCCGTATCGTGAATTGAATTGCCACGGGTGCGGGAGGTGGCGGGTTAACGTGAGACGCACGTCGCACGATGCCAAACGCGCCAGAGAGAAAGGTTTAATAATAATTGGGATGTGCAGTGGGGGGGGGGTTGAGGGTGGAGAGATGGGGGAAGTTACTGTGATGTGGGTAAGTCGGTTTAAGGCAGATAATGTTTGTTAAGCTCTGGGTGCATTGTACATGCAAATTGTTGGATTTCTCACAACTTTCAGAAACTGGCAGAGTTTTGCATATTTTCATTAACTTGTGTTCTTAATTGCTTGCAAATTTTAACACGCGAATGTTCTCAAGTTGAAACCCCAATGGAGTTGGTTGACTTAACTCAAGCAGCCCCGCTGACTTTACTGATGGAATCCCTCCTCGCACTTTAGCTTCAGAACTCACACAACTCACGCACTCTTGTGACGCTCCAAAGCACGCTGTAGTTTTTACACGGTCGCCGAGCAAGGCCCGAAGGCCCAAAACACATCAATCGTCGTGACAGATAAGAGGTTAACACGTTTCTAGAATTGACCAAAAGACGACGGAAGGGAGTTCCAAAGTGGAGCAGTGCGAGAGACGAAGCAGAGAGAGAAACGTTGTGGCCTGCATTATGGCGAGCGTGCGTGTGTGTGTGTCGGTGAGTGTGGTGGGGAGCGGTGGTGCAGCAGTTAGCGCGCTGTGTTCACAACCCCGGAGACCCGAGTTCGATTTCCCGCCCACGGCCAACACCTGTGATGATTATCTGAACCGGTCCTGGGCCTCCTCTAGGTCGACTCAGCCTCAAATAAATACCTGTTGTGATGTGTTAACACTGCCACTCGGGAAACAAAGTCGGTCGGACGTGGCATTGGCTACCCACACCCTCGTGTGCCGTGACGGCCTTCATAAGTGCTCGCTAAAAGTACTTGCCCCAACAGTCTATTAAGGCTCTACAGGGGATGTTTGTCTTTGTTGTTGGGATCTGCATTTGTTACTTAAGAAAAATGATCTCAGCACCGGGCAGCTAAACCCAGCAGGTTGACACAGTGGGGTGCACAGGTGATACATCTGCCAGTCATTGCCAGTCAATCGATTCAAAACACTGCCAGCGGAGCTTTCGACACTTCACGTGGCCTTAAAGCGCACCTAGACTGGCACAAGCGCTGCGGTGACGTCCCCAAAACTTCGTGGCGAATAGCGGTTGCTATTGTTGTTGTGACCTGCAGTGTGGTGGTTGAACACAGTGTGGATAAGACGAAACGGTCAAGTCTGGTAGCGCGAGTCCTCAACACGGGTGGCAGAATCTCCCGGTTAAAGTTCACCGGAACAGTAAGCACGGTGGGAGCAGAGAGAAGAGCGACAAGGAGGCGACTGATCGCCGGTGAGCGAGTGACCGAATGAATCGGTGACTGCTGGATCATCAACGTTAACTCCCTTCGCCTGGTTGTGGGTTCGATCTCAACCCCGATGCCTGTTTATTTGGAGTTTGCATGTTCCCCCCCCCCGTGGTCGAGTGGATTTTTCTACGGGTCCTCCGGCATTTCCCTCCACATTTCTAAACATGCGTTTGGAGTATTTGGCCCGCGATAAATGTACACGTGATAAGCCAATGAACTGCGTCGAGCTATCATTTGTGGCAGGCAGGTCGCTTCTGAAAAAGAGCTACGCAGCTCAGCGGGGGCCTCACCGGAATTCCGTCAAGTCACCAGAGATGCCATGGGGCTCTCAGGCAGCAAACCGCCTCGCCAGGGTACTGACTGAGCTGACATAGTCAAGGGTCCTGCATTCCCATCCGAGCAGTTGAGCGGCCACAGTCGTTATTTAAACGAACGTTGAAAGATGTTTGCTTTACGCAAGAGTTGGTGCTGTCCAGCTGTGAGGGGCCCTCATTCGTGGGACTGCTGGAAAATCCCAAACGGACCATGAAAGAGGAGTCCCATCTGTTGGCTGTGGTGGACAAGAGGTCACATTGGGGCTCCTCCGGGGCTTCTCCGGGAATATCCCGGATCGCGCCATGGTGAAGATGTCACCCTCCTACCGTTGCCGAAATACCGCGAAGGAAGACCTCTCTGCAGCCTGACTCGACCCCGACAGCACAACAGACGTGAATTGATGCGGTACGGATGCACAAAGCTTGCTGCAATACCCGGTACGAAATGACGTTCGAGGGCGAACCGCTTCTTTCCGTTTCGCGTGCCAGGCCGTCGGGCCTAGCGGCGGCCGCGGCCCTGCAGCTCGCCTGGAAGTCCCGCCCCGACACGCCGGAAGCAGTCAGGGCCTCTTTCAAGCCGAGCTCCCTGGTGTGGGCCTTGCCCGCGGGATGCAGCTCCGAGGTCGGGGAAACTACGAACACCGGCCGGGTACCATTCACGGTCGTCATGGTGACGTCGGTAATGAGGTAGTGCTCATGAGGGCGGAGGCAGCTGCTCCAGAACAGCTTGCTGGGTGTCTGCAACAAAAAAAAAACATTCGTTTACAAAAGAAAAGGGAAAAACCACGGGGACGCTTGGAGATGTTATGCTCTTTGTTTTCTCGCGCAACGTGCCGTCCATTATAATTGACGGGAAAATGTATCCTGACCTTTTTCATACAAGAAGCGGCGTCGGATGAAATATTGCGTTTCTGCACTGCGCCGAGAAGACGGCCAACAGTGGTGAAGGCGGTTTGAGAAATCGTGCGTAGAGATATCAAGAAACGGCGTCTATAGAACAGGGGAACTGTGCCTCAACCTTGCGACCCAAGCAAAAAATAAACGCTCTCAGGTACGCGTCTGCCTTTTGTACAATTGACAATAAAATGACGTTACTCGAAGAGCCATATGATTACTTAAACTTATGGGCCATTTCAGTGTATGTCCTACGTGTGTGGCCGCAAGAATGGTAGTGTAGCGCTTAGCGCGCTGCGCTAAGAACCCCACTCACGGTCAACACCGGTGACGATTATCTGAACCGGCCGTGGGCCTCCTCCTCCCCTAGGTCGATTCAGCCTCAAATGAACCTTATGGCGGAACCCCGGGGTACCATAGTTACCCCGGCACTCGCATAATATCCGTGATGCAGTCATTCTTAGTCTGCTCATGGTCGGCGATGCGTCACTCGATTCATTTCGACGAGCTGTACACGATGCACTCTTCAAAGTTGAATTTTTCGATAACGGATTTTTTACGCTAATGTTTGGCGTTTCGACATCGTGGAGTTGCACTGATTTCAGATTGATTGGTTACCCCAGTCGTGGAGTTAAGTACACCCCTGGGAAAAAAAATAGTGTCCCAGAAATAAAACATTTAATTGCCTCGGCCATTTTGTATTATTTGGTACCCCGGGTTACCGCCATCAGGATCACGAGTACCCGGTGCGGTGTGTAAAATCATCGCGACTGGGGAGACAAAGGCGGTCGGGCACGGTGCTGGCCACCCACCCCACCCCCCCGAGTGCCGTGCCGGAATTCATTGGTGCTCGCTAACAGCGCTTGCCCTCACAGTTTGTTTAAGCTATATGGGCCATCTTTGTCTTTCTATTTGTGCCCGCAAAATATAGTCAACGGACAAAAATATATACCTTGCAAGCGGTTGGGAGGAATTTTGCATACATTTTTCACAACTTCAAATATGGTAACTTGTAAGGGTGTTCATTAAAATTATTACATCACATTAAAAAAACACAGACATAGATTCATGAGACAGAGGCAGCTGCAGAAGTGCACAAAAATGCAGCTCTCTAGATTAACTAGCATGCAATCCAGGGTGCAAGCAGCCGTGCATTTGGTTAGATGGAAAGTCGCAGATATTCCCATTACCTATCACAGCGGTTTCCCAATCTTTCCCGACCTATGGATCATCGCAAACCCTTCATTTTTTATTTCCACAGAGCACGGTGAACCAATAACATATCTATCAACATTAAACATATTCGGACCGATGCAAGCCATCGGCCCATTCAGTCAATAGCCAGCTGTGCCGATGAGTCGTAAGTCGCTGAACGGCTTTTCAATGGGCAATGACTTTGGAAATGGGCATTTCCACGGAGCAGGTTCCGCAGGGACCTGCAGGTCATCAGCGGTCCCTGGACCACTTGTTGTCTGATGCTCGGGGTTCCCACATGTTCTCAACCCCATGTCTCCCTCCACCCAGACAGGGGACATCAGGCTTCTTCTCACTGTGCTCCCCACTAGCCGTGGTGTAAGCCTCCATCGTGGGGGCGGGGTGGGTAATCGTAACTACAGATGTTTTTCATTTTGACGAATTATCAGATGTCTTCCCACAAGCATTGCTTAATGCCTACGGTCATAACCCTCCTTGAATGGCTAATTAGCTTTGCTAATTTTGAGGGGGGGGGGGGGTTTCCAGTAGTTCATCAACTGTGCCTTCCAGCTACTGTGGCAGAGAAAAACATCTACTGCACATCCACCTCCCCTGCAGAGGGCGGCGGATACGCAGTGACACAGTTCGTCTTGAGACGACCAATGGATGAGACATCACAACATCACAAGATGTCTCCTCTCGATGTCTTACTCATTCAGCCACAGTTCGTCTTGAGACGACCAATGGATGAGACATCACAACATCACAAGATGTCTCCTCTCGATGTCTTACTCATTCAGCCTCGGTTCCTGCGCTCAGTCGCAGGTTTCGCGTGGCATTCTCACTCACCAGTAAACCATTAAACGTGACAAAACATTCCCAGCTATTGTCAACCTACTGCTGGATGGATGAAGGCTTCTCCCCCGTTAAGTCAGTAATAGTTTTTTTTTTACCATACTTCACCACACTGGTCAGTGTCGGTTGGTGAGAGGGAGGGGGGGAAGCACAGGACTGGTCATGAAACGTATGCATCCTTTATTTAACCAGATGAAATCAACCCGTTCAGACGCATGAAACATTGCCTCTACCGCAAGGGTGACCTGCAAGACATCACTTGCCACTGTGAGTAGGAGCTGGCAAGCAAACTCAGTTCGCCAGGTTCCCTAGCAGTGCGCTAACCGCTGTCCCACTGCTCCACCCCACATTAGACAGTGGAAGGATTTAATAACACGGCTAATGACGCAATCTGCAAATGGTTTCATGCATGTACCTGGCAACTCTAATGAGTGGTTTTCGATATTACACCTTTGTTTTTAATTAGATTAATTGCCATGTTTTGCCCACCGTTGCACGAGGTTGCTAAAGAGATCATCCCCTTCACTGTGAAATTTACAATTAAAACGCATTTAGCATGTTTTGGTTTATTTAAGGGGAAAAGTTTACCGGAATCAAATATCAAATATGCTGCATGTGATCTCATTTTTCAGATTATAATTTTCTAATATTTGGAGATTTCTACAGCCCCCCCCCAGATCCTATTAAATTATGTTCTCTCCATACTTGAAGCGGACACGAATTTAATTTGCAGAAATACACTTAGACCCAGTTAATTTACGTAGAATATACAATGGATTTTGATCGGATTTGATTTTCATTTTCTATCAGCTCAGCTCCGTTTATCAAGATGAGTAAAGAGATTCAAAAATGTGCTTCTTAAAATTAAGTCCTGTCGCTATTCCATATTTATAGCTGCTGCAGTAGCAGCAGCAGCTCGACAATAAAGCATGGACACGCTCGCAAAGCCGATTCAATCACCAGTGAAAACAGATAAATATATTTTATATCAATTACTTTTCTTATTACATTTAAAACAAAAATGCTCTTTGTGTAACCTTTAAACACCGGTCTACGACAGTCCACATTATGGGGGTCACGTGTGTGGACATAATCACCCGGTAAACATGGAAAGTTGGCCCGCTGACGCTGGGCCAACGTTGCTCTCACGGTTCCAGCCACACGCCAACTCTGGCACAATGTTCACACGTTCACTGGGGAACAGCAAAGTGAGCGGCTCAGAAGTTCAAATCCTGGTTGGCAGGGGTTTACTCAGACCATCATTCCTTCAGGGTCGATCAAATGTGTAAATCAGTGCCAAGTTGGGTGGAAGTGAACAGTAGACAGACTGTCCCCTGCCATGAGAAAGTGGAACTGCCATCACTGGCTCAGGGCAGTGAACGGGAGATGAGCACCCATTCTGCAGTGTGGCGCATTCGAGCAATAACTCACCTAGACATTGACTAATTGTTTTAAAATGTATGCACTCATCTGGAGTAAGAATTTTTGTTGATTTTCATAAAACAAAGGGACTCAAAAACCAAAAAAGTATAGATGTCTACATATGCTTGACATAATAAAATGTCGGTCTGCAGCGTATTTCAATGTTGCATTCAATTACTTTCACCCGATTTCAGCTGTAACATCAATTTGTCCTGGCCAGCCACACATTTATTAAACATTTTTTTCCCGACCGTCTCTCAGAAGGCAGCTGGGCTGGTGATATATTACAATAACAATGCCCGTACTCAATTATGAACATAACAGTTTTTTATGTTTACAAACAACATGTCAGGAAATATTGTAGGCAACATAAACCACTGGTTGTTATTTTGTCTAATCTTAATCATGCCATCTACTGCAACCAGGCTCTCTGGTCACAATACTGCAAAATGCGCAGCTTCATACGTTAATAGCCACTGGTGTTCAATGCTTGGGAATTTGTTTTTTCATTATTTACTTTTAAATTACGAAAGTCAATTATTTAAATTTGACCAGGTAAGGCCCCACTGAGCTACGTTGCTCTTTTTCAGAAGCGACCTGGCCATCACAAATGATAGCTCAACCAAGTGGCTCGTCATCGTCACGTGGAAATTAATAGCAGCCAAATACTCTAAACGCGTGACGTTGACTCTAAATGTGGAGGGGAAAACCGGGGGACCCGGAGAAAAATCCACGCGACCATGGGGAGAACACGCAAACTCCAATCATATGGCAGGCGTCAGGGTCGGGATCGAACCCACGACATCCTGCACACCAGGCGAGGGAGTTAACATCTCGCCAGTGTCGTTTAGGCAGGGATGTCTGGAACACAAGGTTAGTGGATAGATGTTTCTGTAAGACCAGATTATCTGTGACTGCAGCAAGTAACGTCGAGTAACGTGTCAGCGCAATGCAGCACTGGGGGTCTTTCAATTAATGGGTGAAATCTGGCACCCAAGAGATAATAATTCGTCACATTGGTGACTCCTTACAATTAGAAACATGCACGGTAGTAGCTTGATCTACAAGTCTGCTCGGGGTTTATGGTTCTCTCGACCGAATATCACGAACGTCAAATTAATTATTTGAGCCCGTTGTGGAAAATATAAACAACAGAATAAATAAGCAGACGGTGCCCCACGGCCTTCTGGGATTATATCATTCAAGCAACACTGACTGCTAATGAGGCACCGTTGGTTGGTCAAAACCGGTCCAGAGCTATCCTTGTATTTGAATCAATGCAGCGGGCATTACATGCCCAGAAGGTAGTGCGGCCGATGGATGTGTAATAAATACTCTAAATTGTTTTACGTGGAAAGGTGGCCATGTGAAGGAGACGTTTGTGCTTTTTTATTTTGTTAACACCACCAACTGGCAATGTACAATTATTAATATTTTTTTCTCCACTTCACAGTAACAGCTAGCCCATAAAATGCCTTTGTATCACAGCAAACAAAACAAATTTGGAATTCCAAATACTGTAAAAGACTGGATATTTTTTTTCTTTTTGCACACGAAGAATAAACGTGTTGTCGCATATAAACGTTTGTTTTATTTCTCAATACTACACGTTATTTGATTGCTCTCTTTGAAAATACATTGTTTACCGCACTCTCTGCATGACGGATGTTGTGCAAGGCTTTCCTGCCTCATGCCATTGGTCGGTCCATAAGAGATACATTGCATGCCAATGGTGATTCTCTCCACCACAGTGTCCATTCAATCAAAGATCCTCCCACCATGTCGCCTTTATCAGAGAGTGCTGTTAACGGGTGGCACCTATGAAGGCCGGCGCGGCACACGAGGGGGGGGGGGGGGGGGTGGGGTGGCCAGCGCCACGCCAGGCCGCCTTTGTCTCCCCAGTGCCGGTGCTTACGAACCGCACCTAGGGGAGGCCCATGACCGGTTCAGATATTCGTCACCGTCATTGGTCGCGAGCGGGAATCGAACTCGGGTCGACGGGTTTGTAAAGCGGTGAGTGCACAAACCACCGCGCCGCCACCGCTCCCGCACTGTCCATTCACACACAAGCATGCATTTATTAATGCTTAACTTTCGATCATTACAATGGGCCACATGGCTCCACCGCCTTGCTTTTGAGATCCAGCCGTACAAGATACGCTGCCAGCTCATTAGTCATTCCATTTATCAAACTCCCCATTCAGACGCAACGCACGATCTGGTCATCCATCAACCCTTGAGACCGTCAATCCATTTTTCTGTGGCTAGCTCTCAGTGGTGCCTGATGGACCCACGCTTTGTCATGTCTAGCGCAAGCCACTCAGGATGCACGGACGCAGCACTCGTGTTCAGCACAACCGTGCACTCCCGTCGTCATTAATCCACAAGCGTGTGGAACAGAAGATCCTTGTCCTTGGGTTCAAGCCCATCCACCGCTCTTGCTCCTCCTCCCTTCCGCTGCACACCGCTACGTCCCAGCCCGCTACACCAGCACCACCAACCCCGCCAAGCTCCCAAGATCCGCTGCTCCACCACCACTCGCCGCTCCCCAAGCTATTCAGCACCGCACCCTCGGTAATTCCCTCCCCAGGCAACTCCACCTGGTATCCTCGACCCCCTCCCTATCTCTGGTTCGAAGTCTCTCCTAGAAGCCTTCCATTTCAACTCCCGTGCCTTCGGACCCCCTCATGCAGCTCCTTTCTCTCCCTCTCATGCTCGCTCCCTCCCGTTCCCTCCCACGTCCTCCTCCTGCGTCAGCGTTAAAGAGGCTTTTGGTACGTTATGGCTGCGTTACAAATGTAAGCTGTTGTTGCCGTAAGTGGCCTCGTAACACGAGCCACTCGAACGCCAGGTAGTCATGGCAATAGCATTCTCCTTTCTAGGAAACCGTTTGCTGTGAATACGAAATGTAAATTTCATGCTGATTGCCGCGCTCATGTCAAACAGCTTTTTAAAAATGTTAGCGGCATTTTTCATGGCGGCAATATAATCAACTTTCTCAACGTACTCATATTTCAACACACTTAAACGCATGCATATTTTAATGTACATTTTACATTTGTTTAGCCCTTTAATTTCTACAAGGTTCGACACAGCCATCCATCAAGTCTAATTAAATAGACGGCTCTTTCCAAGAAGACCCCCACCACCATCCAGGCCGATCGCCAGCAATCGTTACATATTTATGATCTCCTTCCCAGCGGTTCACTACTGCAGTGCAAACTGAAATATTATGATGGATGGTGCAACGGCGCTCCGCGGACAGGAGGCAGGCTGAGAAGGGGAGAAAGAAATGGTTCGCTTGAGTTCAGACGAACACAGACGTCAAGAAAGAGGGTGCATAATCAGAACGAAAATGAAAAGCCGCACGCGGGCTGTCGAGCCAGCGCCACCCGACCCACGTGATGGGGCTTGCAAAACCTCTGCCACACGCACGGGAAGCTGCACAACATCCACCACCCCCCCCCCCCCCCCCCAATTTTCTGAAGACGTTTTAAGTTCGGAAAAAGGAGCACTGGAATGGGCACGTGTGGCATAGGATGGGCAACAAGAGGTCAAATGTAAAAGTGTGTTGTTTGGGAAAAAATGTAAGGAAGCGTAAAAGAGAGGAAGACCTCGCAGAGAATGTGTTGACGACGGCACGAGAGATCGGTGCCATAAAGATGCTGCGTCTGCTCGCGCACATTGGCACAAGGCGGAGGAAAGTGGAAACTAATGACGAAATGTGCAGCGACCACCTTCGCGCTATCTGCCCGTGGATCCTGACGATGATGATAATGAAAGCAGCAAAGTCAACGCAATGCGCGCGTTCGTGCTTTCGCAGGCTCAAAAGACAAAGTTCGGATGATGCCGGGCTGAAATCGCAGCAGCTCAATATCCCGCGAGCACAAGTGGCACCGTGTGTCGCCCTCACCTCTCGCGGCGCGGGAGGTGAAGTGGCCAATCTACGCGAGCGCAGAAGATCGTTCCATTGCGGGAAGGTTTAACGAGCTATGCCTGCGGAATTCCCCCTAATGGTTCCGGGCACTTTTCCCCAAACGATTCGTAACTTTTGGGGAAGCCGGGGAGACGAAGCGTGGGCTTGAGGACGCGTCGATTTGCCCACAATTTGGTCACTTTGGTGCTCCTGATGATGGGATTAAATATCGCTGCCATTCACATTTATCCGAGCCAAACATCTTCCCCGCGATAATCGGCGCACGGTATTTACGCCGGCACGGACCTCGAGCAGCTCACCGACCACGTGACCGCGCACCGCTCCGACGCGGCGTTTAACGCGGAGCGATGTGAAGGCAGCCGTACCGACGCGTTTAGCGCCGTGCGCCCTGCGGGCGCTGCAAGCCGAGTGGATGAACTCGTACAGACAGGAGCACCAGACGGTGGCCATATGCTCACGCGCCCGACTCCCCCCTCCACCACCCCGCTGCGGTGAGCTTTGCATCGCCGCCCAGGTGCACGCACGCACACTAGCACACACGCACACTAGCACACACACGCTAAAACGCACACACACTAGCACACACACGCTAAAACGCACACACACTAGCACACACACGCTAAAACGCACACACACTAGCACACACACGCTAAAACGCACGCACACTAGCACACACGCACACTAGCACGCACGCACACTAGCACACACGCACACTAGCACACGCACGCTAACACGCTAAAACGCACGCACACTAGCACACACGCACACTAGCACACGCACGCTAACACGCACGCTAACACGCACGCACACTAGCACACACGCACACTAGCAAACATGCAAGCACACACGCACGCTAACACGCACGCTAACACGCACGCACACTAGCACACACGCACACTAGCAAACATGCAAGCACACACGCACGCTAACACGCATGCACGCTAGCACACGCAAGCACACTAGCACGCGCGCTAGCACACGCACGCTAGCACACACGCACGCTAGCACGCACGCACACTACCACACACACACACGCACGCTAGCACGCACGCACGTACACTACCACACACACACGCACGCTAGCACACACGCTCGCACCTGCACGAAGCAGAGCACGGACTGGAGTGAGGACGAGGCCAACGACTGCGACGAGGTTGAAAAGGCAGAGCCCAGGCGCAGCACGAAGAAGGACTTCCCTCGGATGCAGAGCAGGGGTGCGACGGACAGCAGCTCGCCCAGGAGGGAAAACTTGGCCCTCCTCGATCGCTTCGCACTGCACGCAACGGGAGTGCCGCCGTATCGGTTCATCTCTCGTGTAATGTACAGTATTCGTCCGTTTAAAAACTGGCCAGAATGTAGGCCCAACACGTCCCAATGTTGTGCTGTGAAAACGGGACATTTGACTGAATTGTCACCATTATGTATTCTAGATTTTGTTTGCCCCCTTTTAAGGCCACAGCGTTATTGGCCATTGTGTTGAGTTTCTTTGTTATTTGTGCAGCGGCAGCACCAATTTTAACCTTCACAACGCTTTAACCATTGATCCTTGCCTGCTATGTTTTGAAATCAAAGGTGTTAATTAATTATTGTCGTGTGATTTCAAATCCCTTCCAACACTGTGAATGTTTAATTAGTCTTAAGCACAAGTCGGAGGTGCAATTTGCCAACCCAAGACAACACGAGACCACTGCACGCCTCATGACGAACACGGTCTGCATTATTTAATATCCGTTCACACGTTCCCCAAAAACACACACACAGATCACTGTGAAGGGAGGGCGTGAGTCAAATCTTGAGTGGATAAGCCACCGTTGGTCTGGTGCGTTGCTCCATCTTGGTGTGGCTAACGGCAACCAAACAAAGGGCCCTCGTTCGTCATCATCAGCCATTGTCTATCCACTGCTGGATGAAGAACCTCCCCGCTCTGTCGCCAGCCCTCGTGGTCCGGTGTCGCTATTGTCCGTCTCGCTCATCCTGCGCAACGGACGGAGCTCCATCTCTTGGGACGGAGCTCCATCTCTCGGGACGGGGCTCCATCTCTCGGGACGGAGCTCCATCTCTCCGGACGGAGCTCCATCTCTTGGGACGGAGCTCCATCTCCGGACGGAGCTCCATCTCTTGGGACGGAGCTCCATCTCCGGACGGAACTCCATCTCTTGGGACGGAGCTCCATCTCTCGGGACGGAGCTCCATCTCTCGGGACGGAGCTACATCTCTCGGGACGGAGCTCCATCTCTCGGGACGGAGCTCCATCTCTCCGGACGGAGCTCCATCTCTTGGGACAGAGCTCCATCTCTTGGGACGGAGCTCCATCTCTGGACGGAGCTCCATCTCTTGGGACGTGTTCCCTCCTTCGGCCGGTCGCGTCCATCGGCCATCATCCAATCTGGCGATGGGTCCTCCGCCAGGCTTAGGTCGCCCTCCACCAGCACGTGACTCTATAAACTATTCAAAAACTATTTTTTGTTTTACCAGGTAAGGCCCACTGAGCTCTTTTTCAGAAGCGTCCTGGCCACCACAAATTATAGCTCAACCAAGTGGCTTATCGTGTGGAAATGTATAACAGTCAAATACTCAAAAACGCACGTTTTCGAAATTTGGAGGGAAAAACCGGCGGTCCCAGAGAAAAATCCACGCGAACACGGGGACAGAGACACGCAAACTCCAAATACACAGCAGGCGTCAGGGTCGGGATCGAATCCACGACCTCCTGTACACCGGGCGAGGCCGTTAACATCTCCCCACCGCGGTGCCCCTTGAATGGTGATAGACCCCCACCGGGGGGCCTCACCCGCAGGCGAGCAGCAGGCAGCGGGCCATGTCGGGACGCAGGGCGGCGATCGCCGCCCGCGGCCGCCGCCGACGCGGAAGATCCCCTCCGGGGACGAGGCGCAGGGGGCCACCGTGCACCTCCACGTAGCCGTGGGGGGGTTCACGAGGCTCGCCGCCCGGCACGTAGCTCCAGCAGGGCAGCAGCACCAACTCGCCGAGCCACTCGGCCGGGAAGTCGGAGAGCTGCGCAGCAAGAGCACCGGGCAGAGCGCCGGGTAAACGAGGCCGTGGAGGAGAGCGATCACCGTGGCCGCGCCGTTTGTAAGGCGCTCTCGGAAGTGTAAGACGCACCGCAATATTTGGGGTTAATTTTTTAAGTCGTAAAAGGGGTTAATCGTCGGGATAATTTGGTAGACGCAGAGCAGTCTTCCTGAAGATGATTGTACAATGGGGGGAGAGGTATTCTCCAGAGGGTTATTCTTAACAACCAGAAACAAAGCCTTCCAGGAGGTCGTGTATCACTTATGAAGAGCTGACTTCCGGAACGTTATTATGAACGCGCTGCTTGATAAGGGGGAGAGATGTCTTGTGGATGATGATTCTCTGCGTTGTCACGTATCGCTGCCAAGATTTGTCTTCCGTAAGGGGATTCTGAACAACAAGATTAAAACACGTCCTTCCGGAAGACAATTACATAGCCGCGCTCACAACTTTTAGCTCGAAAATGCGGAAAGAAAAAGTGTATCTAATAATTCGGAGGATGCCGTAACCGGTTTTATGAAATGTGATGCCGGTCCCCGAGAATTAACGGCATAACAATGAACAGAATGATTCTGGCGACAGTATCAGCACTCGAGTGTATGGGAGGTAAGCCATACACAACGTGGGAGGTAAGCCAACTTACCTGTAGATGATGATAAGCCAACTTACCTCCCATACACAACGCGGGAGCTCTATGTGGTTTGGCTGCAATGCCACTTGGCTGAGACTGGAAGGTTTCCGTAGAAGAGATTCGAAAGGCTCCCATTTAAATTGCTAAATAAATAAGCGGATAATGCTGCTCCTCCTCCCAGTATATTAAAAGTATATTTTTATACATCTCATCAGCCACCCAGCCCTACTGGAAGCACAACTGTTTTTCCCAGAAGCATTGGGGTTCAACACAAGCAAATTCCGCTAGCGGTTTCGATATTCAAAGTATCAGCTTTCAAGTCAGGCTTTTGCTTGAAACAATTCTGGTGAACTGCCCAGATGTTCACAGGTAAGGGAGCCTCTCTGGTGGATATGGGTCCTAGTTCAACACAAACAAAATAATACGTAACATATGAGCAAAAGTGTAAGGATTGATTGATTCAAATCTATTGTTATGCTCGTAATACAACTATAGTGGCGTAACGCCCGCAGGCTTGCAAACAGCGGGTGCATTTCAGGGCGAGCAGGTGCAAGCGGTAGGACATGGAACAGCCGCCAGAGAAGCGCCAGAAATTAAGGGGAGAAGCGATAATGAGGTGGGGGTGCATTTGGGGACAGGCAGGTGCAAGCGTACAAACACGGAGTAGGCGCCGGAGAGGCGGGAGATGGAGACGATAAGGGAGAGAGAGCTCGTGCAGGAGGCGCCGGCTTAATAGGGGGCAACCGAGGACCCGTAATGAGGAGGGGGATATAAAGTGGTGTGCGGAGAACACGGGGTTGAGTTGGTTGGAGCTGAAGGAACGAAGAGGACAAGAGCCGGAGACAAGAGGCCTGGGACCTCGCCCTCCACACCTCGCCCTCCACACCTTGTCCTCCACACCTCGTCCTCCACACCTCGTCCTCCACACCTCGCCCTCCACACCTCGCCCTCCACACCTCGTCCTCCACACCTCGTCCTCCACACCTCGTCCTCCACACCTCGCCCTCCACACCTCGTCCTCCACACCTCGTCCTCCACACCTCGCCCTCCACACCTCGTCCTCCACACCTCGTCCTCCACACCTCGTCCTCTACACCTCGTCTGCCACACCTCTTCACCCACACCTCGTCCTCCACACCTCGTCCTCCACACCTCGCCCTCCACACCTCGTCCGCCACACCTCTTCACCCACACCTCGTCCTCCACACCTCGTCCTCCACACCTCGCCCTCCACACCTCGTCCGCCACACCTCTTCACCCACACCTCATCCTCCACACCTCGTCCTCCACACCTCGCCCTCCACACCTCGTCCTCCACACCTCGTCCTCCACACCTCGTCCTCCACACCTCGTCCTCCACACCTCGTCCTCCACACCTCGCCCTCCACACCTCGTCCTCCACACCTCGTCCTCCACACCTCGTCCTCCACACCTCGTCCTCCACACCTCGTCCTCCACACCTCGTCCACCACACCTCGTCACCCACACCTCGTCCTCCACACCTCGTCCGCCACACCTCGTCACCCACACCTCGTCCTCTACACCTCGTCCTCCACACCTCGTCACCCACACCTCGCCCTCTACACCTCGTCCTCCACACCTCGTCCGCCACACCTCGTCCTCCACACCTCGTCCTCCACACCTCGTCACCCACACCTCGTCCTCCACACCTCGTCCTCCACACCTCGTCCTCCACACCTCGCCCTCCACACCTCGTCCGCCACACCTCGTCCTCCACACCTCGTCCTCCACACCTCGTCCTCCACACCTCGTCCGCCACACCTCGTCCTCTACACCTCGTCCTCCACACCTCGTCACCCACACCTCGCCCTCTACACCTCGTCCTCCACACCTCGTCCGCCACACCTCGTCCTCCACACCTCGTCCTCCACACCTCGTCACCCACACCTCGTCCTCCACACCTCGTCCTCCACACCTCGTCCTCCACACCTCGTCACCCACACCTCGCCCTCTACACCTCGCCCTCTACACCTCGTCCTCCCCAGCGGTGTTGGCTGATCCCCCGCTGGGGGCACAGACGAGGATGGAGGTGTGAGAGAAGGCTGACAGGCTAGCGGAGTATTCAGTAAGAAGCTAGCGGAGTATCAGTAATAGGCTAGCGGAGTATTAAGTGACAGGCTAGCGGAGTATTAAGTGACAGGCTAGCGGAGTATTCAGTAAGAAGCTAGCGGAGTATCAGTAATAGGCTAGCGGAGTATTAAGTGACAGGCTAGCGGAGTATTCAGTAAGAAGCTAGCGGAGTATCAGTAATAGGCTAGCGGAGTATTAAGTGACAGGCTAGCGGAGTATTAAGTGACAGGCTAGCGGAGTATTCAGTAAGAAGCTAGCGGAGTATCAGTAATAGGCTAGCGGAGTATTAAGTGACAGGCTAGCGGAGTATTAAGTGACAGGCTAGCGGAGTAAGAGAGAGAGAGTTTGGAGGCGTTGCGTAAAGAGTGAGGAGCATCCGTGTGGGATGCGAAGTAATAAAGTGTGAATACACCGCTACACAACCATTGAATTGCATGTGTGTGTAAAGATTAATAATTTCTTACGTATGCAAATTAAATGCGAATATTTCCTCAGGTATAATGGAGGCAAACATTCCCAAACTAGACGACAACAATTAGTGAGTTACAAATTGAGCATTTTCAATCATCAAGTTTCCTGCAGACCGTGTTAAAAGAGAGTCACAACAAGCACTTGCGCCGCGATGGCTTTCTCACGCGCAGATCCCCCCGTGAATTGTGCATATCGTCGAACTTCGTCACCTCGCACTGCAGGGCCCCGGTGCAGTCCCTCAGGAACAAGCTGCCATCGGGCTGGGTGCCCGGCTCTGAAGAGCGATCCGTTACCCTCCCACACAGCAGCAAGGGGCAACGAGGCAGAAGGCCATCTGGGAAGCAGTCACCCGCGGACGCACAGACAGACGCACGCCAAGATCGAAAAAAAACCAGAACCACCCCACGGGACACACGCTGCTGGCGCGCGCGGGCGCCCGTTCGGACCAGCAGGGCGCCCGTTCGGACCAGCAGGGCGCCCGTTCGGACCAGCAGGGCGCCCGTTCGGACCAGCAGGGCGCACGTTCGGACCAGCAGGGCGCCCGTTCGGACCAGCAGGGCGCCCGTTCGGACCAGCAGGGCGCCCGTTCGGACCAGCAGGGCGCACGTTCGGACCAGCAGGGCGCACGTTCGGACCAGCAGGGCGCACGTTCGGACCAGCAGGGCGCACGGCGGTGGCGCGGCCAGCAAACGCGCCCCGACAACTTGGCGCAACCGAACGAAGGGCGTCACGAACCGACGGCTCGTGAAGCCGGCAACGCTTCAAAGCGCAGCGCGCGCTGGTGGCCTAACCGTGGGGTTCGACGTCGGCCTGCGCCGCATTGTCCTCCGCTCCCACCAGCCTCCCACCCTCCTCGCCGACCTCCAGCCTCGCCCCCTCCCCTCCGCCGCCGTGCGGCCACGAGAGAAGGTGCTCGAACCTGGGCCCCAGCGAGCTGGAGAAGGCCTGGCGACTCTTGGTGCATAGGTCGGAAATTGACACGAGCCTGTGGCACACGTCACACGCACAAGGCGCCGTGGTGGCGAGATGTTAACCACCTCACCTGGTGTACAGGAGGTCGTGAGTTCCATCCCGACCCTGACGCCTGCTGCTGTATATTTGAAGTTTGCAATTTCTCCCCGTGGTCACGTGCATTTTTATTTGGGTCCTCCGGTTTTTGCCCCCACATTTATAAACGTGCATTCAGAGTATTTGGCTGCTATAAATTTCCATGTGATAGGCCATTTCGTTGAGCTGTCATTTGTGGCCACGTCTCTCTTCTGAACAAGAGCTACGTAGCTCAGTGGGCCTTAGCTGGTAAAATAAAAAAAAGTCATCGTAAAATAGTCGTGTGATATAATAGTCATAATCCATTCTAGATTTGAAGCTTTCGTGACTGCAAGGATTCATACTCTTTGGCTTTTTCGGTAAAGTCACATAGGTAAAATAAAATAAAACAACTAAATTAAATCAAATCACGAGGTTTCGGAGGCAACACAAGCTTCCGTCTTCAGGTAGAACAGACACAGCAAAAATTCGCTCGCTCAGCGAATTTTTGCTGCGTCTCGCTCAGCCAATTTTTGTTGTGTCTGTTCCACCTGAAGACGGAAGCTTGTGTTGCCTCCGAAACGTCGGGATTTGATTTAATTGAGTTGTTTAATTTTATTTTATTTTACCTACGTGACTTTACCGAAAAAGCCACAGAGTAGTTATAATCCAGCGCGTTTAAGATAAAAGCTGGCGGATTATGTAGATATGTGAATCCATCACACCAGAAGGGCTGCACGTGGCGTTAAGTGGGTTTAATCCACTTGCCAGTCGGCAATCGGTTTATCCAACCGAGGGCTGATTTCAAAGGAAAACCGGTGGGCACAGCTGCCACGAACCCCACAGGCGCACACTGTGAACAAACGTCCATCACAACGACGGGAAAACGTCCATTACGGCGATGAGCCGATCTCTAAACACTGGGTCACTTCCTTCATTTGATCCTTACATTACCAGATGCCCATACATTACCAGATGTCCATACATTACCAGATGCCTACATTATAAAATGCCCATATTTTACCAGATGCCTATATATTGTCACATGGCTATACATGATCAATTCTCTATTACATTATCAGATTCCTATACATTATCAGATGCCCTTGATTGTTAAATTGTATTTCCGGGCACCATTGTCTCGAGGGATGGAGTTAAATTCAAACAAGAGAATAATGAACCAATAAGCAAGGGCACCGAACCACAAATCTGGTCCACATTGGCTCAGGTAAAGCCACTTTAACATCATTTTCACCGCAAGTGCTGCACTCTCACGTGAAGGCTGATTGATGGCGTCTGCCGCAAACTCTAAGCAACCACAGCTTCACGCAGCTTCTAAAGATCAGCAGGTGTCACATTTATCATAAAAGGCTCAGCGTCTGGAAAAGAGGAGAGTGATCATACCTTATTCTTATAATGGGCTCTATATATAAACCAAGCGAAGCGATGCATTACTGGCCCAAATCAGAGTGCAGGGAAATAATAATAATAATTACTGAGTTTGGTAATCGCGCCATTCATATAGCTCTGGGCAATCACAAAAGCCGCTGTTTTTCACAGCGAGAGTCTGCAGTAGTCTCACAGCAGGCGGCAATGTTGAAACGAGTAATCGCAATGGAGTTACTCCGGGGGCAATCTTTCACAAATTATTTTTCACCAAATTTGGATCACGAAGCCGGCACACAACGGCCGACTCTTTTTTTGCGAACGACGGCACGGGAACTTCAGCGTGCACCGTGAACCAGCACGCGCGTATTTCTACGGTTAGTTTAAGACGTAGGAGGGCTTTCGCGACCAACATTATCCATAAGGTTTTTTTTTTGGGGGGTTAGGTCGCGTAAATATAAATGTGTCGTTAAACCGGCCACCACCCGACACAGCCAATTAGTAAGGTTTGTCACGTAAACAAAACGTGACAATTCGTTACTAGTTAAGCACACCGGTTGTGTGTTGGTGAGTAAACCCACAACATTTACAATTCGAATTTCCACGGTCAATCACACCTGTAGTATTATTCGGGGGCCGGCCTGCCAGATTCAAACCGCGAACCCTTGCGGCAAGCGGCAATACGCGCGGCAGCTGGGGGCCACGTGACCGGAACAAAACACAATTGGCCCACTGCAAGGAGGTTCACGGAGCTACCAGCTTCACTCATGGATGCTCTGATTATGATTATTGTTGTGCTTGTCTACCAAGAAAGGGCTCAGTGGGCGATGGTGCCATGTGTAGTCCCAATTAAGTGGTTTGGCGGTGTAATTTTTCAGCATTGGAATGTTTGGAGAATACCAGTTACATTGTATGCTTTTCGTCACCAATATTATTCATAATAAAAGTTCATTCGTGTTTGATCGCGTCAATATGAATGTGTCGTTAACCCACGACCGCCCGTAACAGCCAATCAGTAGGGTTTGTCACGTAAACAAAAACGTGCCAATTAGATTACCACTTCAGCACACCGGTGTGTTGGAAAGTAAACACGCAACATTTACAATTCGGCTTATCCGGGTTCTTCTGTTTCTCCCCATAGATAAAAACAAAAAAACCTTACAATGTAATAAATAATAAAAGTTATTTTGGGTTAGATCGTGTGAATACTCTCCGATGCACCGGTGTGCTGAAGTCGTAACTGGCACGTTTTAATTACGTGACAAACCTTACTAATTGGCTGTGTCGAGTGGTGGTGGGCTAAAGACACATTCACACGACCTAACCCAAAGTAACTTTTTTATTATGAATAGTTTGGTTTATTTAGCTATGGGGAGAAACCGCAGACCGTGGGGAAGCCAAAGGAAAGGAAAGAGAGGCCCAGATTCAGGAATCGAATCCAACCAGACCTTTTTTTGCTGTGCGTCTCACAAGTGTTATCCCTGTGCCATCCAATATGCAGCCAATGCATTTTTAAAAACTTACTCCAAAATGTACCTGCAAACGGTGTACAACGAAGCAATCTTAAATTTGTTTATAGATGCGGCTGTTTTCAAGCCACAAGTTGCAATCGTTTGATTTCATAGGCGAGATACAGAGCAATGTAATCTAGACACATTTAGAAACATCGTCATGTCACATGGGTAACGCAGGAATGAGTTGAAATGTTCGGTTGGCATGTTTATTTCGATGTTCATTAGGCCCACCATTCTCACACGATCGTATTGCTAATTTCTTTGCTGGCACTAATTAGGTGCGCTTCTTATTCTCCGCGCGAAAGTCACACATTTAACATTTGATCGCTCGCTCGCATGCTAAACAAAAAAAAAACACTCCAATCAGGGTCGGATGTGGCATAACTGTTTCCCCGACAGAACTTTATTTAAGTATAATTGTCCCCCAGTCAGCAGACAACACTGCAGGAATGATTAAGAGTGTTTTCGGTTAATTAGGTCTTCAACTCCCAGCGCAGCGATAGGAAATTAGTAATTACGTGTAGGCGAGCGGGAGTGGGAGGGGCTCCGCTTGCGTCCCGGGGAGGCGGCGCTCGTCCGCTTGGGTGCAGTGCTCCGACAGACACCGGACCAGCCGCCCCGACAGGGTTGCCACGGAGACACCGGGATCTTCTACCACCCGAAGGAGATTCAACTCCACGAAGCGGTACATGCGTCCGAGCCACTCTGTCTCCTAGGAAACAAACGATCATCAGAGCGACGGAGAACTTTGAAAAACAAAAACCATTTGCTGCTGCCGTGGGGGAAATACATACCTGTCAAATCATACGGTTTACCCGTATTCTTGTATGGGGAAATTGTGTAAAAAAATGTAATTTTTTTTGTGTTTCTCCCTTGTGATGGGACTTTGTAGGATGAACATTGAGGTTTATGAGGGGCACGGGGTGACCAGTAAGGTCTGAATTGGCCTGTAAGAAGGTCACTGATAAGGGGTTGGACAGCTATGGAAATAGCAACATCTCAGAGACATCTGCAAACTCTAAATTATTTGTTTATTTTTTTCACCAGGAAAGGCCCACTGAGCTACGTAGCTTTTTTTTAGACGCGACCTGGCCACAAATGATAGCTCAACGAAGATGGCTTACCATCGTGTGGAAACTAATCTCAGTCAAATAATTTAAACGCGTGGTGATGTTGATTCTAAAGGTGGAGGGGAAAAACCGGGGGACACGGAGAAAAATCCACGCGACCATGGGGAGGGAGAGAGAGAGACACACACAAACAAACTCCAAATAAACGCACACTTGGGAAAGAAGAGCAGCTGCCCTGCAGAGAATACAAGGTGCTTCCAGCTGTAACAAACCATCAATCTCTCTTATTGAAAAACATCTACAAGCGTGCAATGCACCATACAGGGGGCACCAGGACATTGAGGACTCGAGGAGCGTCAAAGAAATGCGAAGAAAACCATTAGAATACATAAAAGACACGAGAAGCTGAAAGCATCCCTGAGAGAATGTAAATATAAACGGATGCATGAGGATTTTTAGTACATGGCCACTTGAAATGAAAAAACAGGATTATCAAAATGGACAAGAATGAAAGCAACGCTAATTGGTGCTTTGAGCAGCATAGGCCTCTCCATCATGGCCGCTGTTATCAACTGGCAACATTATGGCCACTTCATAAAGCAAACCTGCCCTTGCCTTCCCAACTCCCGCCACCCTCGCCCCCCATCACCCCCCCACTTCCCAGTGCCTCACGAACCCACATCCCACCGGACCTCCACCCACACCGCTGTCTGCGTGCAAGGAGTTCGTGGGGGGGGGGCAGCGGAAAGAGTTTTGAAAAGAGCATCATTAATAATTCATGCAGGCAGATGTGCTCTGCTGGGGGCCTGCCAATCACTCTGCTCGCGCACGGACGGACACGCGCGTGCACCACAGCACGCACCACGGCTTACGCGGGAGGTCACACGAAGCTGTGGGTTAACAAAAAAAACGAACAAGAAGCCAAGGTTTCGCGATCCTCATGACTGGTCGTTAATTATTTTTCTATTTAAGAATTCCCAATGAGAGCGATTTCAATTTCAGATTTTTTTTTGCCGCCCCAATTCTCGACGTTGGCAAGGCGGTTGCACGCGTGGCTTCTTCGTGCGCGCGTTCATTCAATTTTCTTATCGCTATTCCCCCCCCTCCACCCCCGTGCAAGTGAGGGATAAGTCCACACTGATGCACGGTAATTCCGTTGAAACTCGCGAAATAAAAAAAAAGATAGGAAACGTGCATGTATTTTTTTTTTTACATTTCACGCACGCCTGACCTGCGAGGCATTAAGTCGCACAGCGCCTGTCAAACCCGAAACAGCAGGCCTTCACTCACGTGCACACTTCAGCCTTAAGCGGAGAATTCTGATGCTTTCCTAACATTGCCGGACCCCATCCATCTGCCTGTCCATCCGTGTCGATTATATCCACACGTCTGCGCAGAGACCTGGCGCGATGCCAAATCTGGACTCTTGGGATAAGCCCTGAATAGCGTCGAAAGAAAGAGAATGGTCATGGAAGTGATCAAAACGAGAAAGAAGAACACGACTGAATGCATTCTACGCGACGAAAAATGTTTGTTTAGTTTGTTGTCCTTCCCCTGCACCTCCGTTTAGCACGGTTGGCTACGTACGATGCAAAATAAGTTCAACGTACGTACACTGACAAAGAACATTACGAACGATGGAAAGGAAGGGGGGGGGGGGGGGGGAAATGAAAGGAAAGCAAAGGATCGGGATTTTGAAGAAGTTGAAGGGTCACTCGTGGAAAGAGGAGGCAGAGACCGGAGGATGGAGAAGATGTCGGCCAAAGGGACCAGCCGTTACGGCAAGGCACAAAAGGAGAAGCATCTGACTCCGAAGACGCGAACAGACAACGGTCGCCCGCTTCACGGTGAAGAGTGGGAAATGTCTCCATCATGGCCCACAGCGACTTCCTCTCTGCTCGTCATTACACTCACTCCAGAGTATCCATGACCTCCTGTAATAAACTACTCCCACTCTCTGATATTTTTGGCTTTGCGTTAACATTGGTGTAACACTGTCCTCCGGGTGACATTTACAACACCGTCTGTCTTTCTCGGATCACGGCTGGGGAATGCGACGGATTATGTTTACACGCTTAACCATCTCCCATTCTCCGTATACTTTAGTCCTGTACTGGCGTTGAAAAGCCAATATTAAGATGTCTTAATATTCGCTGGTATTTGTAGATCTTAGGCTCCATGTAACTCTGTTCCATTTTCCTTCAACTTCACCAACACATCGACATTTCCTCCGGATTCGCCCCAATCACGCCGACAGCTTTGTGTCCGAAATACTTTAGTTGCCATCTCTGCCGTTAGGGTTGGGCTGTCGAGCCTTTTCACCGGTTTCCTGTGGCACAATTTCGCCGGTAGTTCTCCTTGCTGTGAAAGGGATTTGCAACTGAAGTCAATTCCAGCATCGCGCAGTTCAAAAAGCTGTGACCTTCCTCCACTCTGCTGCACCGACCCTCCAGATTTTCACGTGCAGCCATCGGTGGAACGTCCAACGCGCCTTTCCCACAACACCGCCAGGCTGCCCTGGTGAATGTGGCAGGCACATGAACCATGGGATGCACGCCGTCTGCTTCACCGTGGACATTAAGATCCCATGGCGTCATTCCAAAAATAGCAGGCCATTGCACACCGGTGCCATGGTCCACATTGGCCCAATTTTAAATATTACTCTCAAATTAAATTTCGATTTAAAGCTTTCGTGACTGCAATGATTCATCTTCTTTGGTTCTTTCGGTAAAGTCACGTAGAATGAGAATTAAATAATAAATTGATAAAATAAAATAACACAATAATATTCTCACGACGTTTCGGCCACAACACAAGCGGCCTTCATCAGGTGAAGGGACGAGACTGTCTGGTAGGACAGCGCTGGAGTGGACAGTCTCGTCCCTTCACCTGATGAAGGCCGCTTGTGTTGTGGCCGAAACGTCGTGAGAATATTATTGTGTTATTTTATTTTATCAATGTATTATTTTATTCTCATTCTACGTGACTTTACCGAAAGAACCAAAGAAGACTCTCAACTTACTTCATCAGGAAACGCACGGCAACTGCTACCCCCTGCATTAAACACTTGGTAAGGACCCTCCTACGCAAAGAGTCTAAAAGGCTCAGTGAGGGTTTTCTGGGTAAGCAGGCAAAATCATAATCATTTGTCCAAGGCAAGGCTGTGCTTCTTGCCTCCGAAAATGAATGCCATCGTCATTAATCACCATGGCGATCCATGACGCAAGCGGTGGCCAGCGCAAAAGGCCCAGCGGCACGTTAAGATCGGGCTCACTCGCCGAGCTTTGCTTGTGGCCCGTGCGCTTTGCATCAGCGAGCAGAGGCAGAGCGGAACAGATGGCTTCTTGGACAGAGGAGAAAATCTCGTTTTGAGACGCAAATTCTGGGCGGCGCAGGGGTCGCATGGCATCCGTGCGCAACGGCGCGAGGTGTGCCAGATGCCGCGTGAGTTTTTTGTTTTGTTGCTGTTGTATAAACGCATTCTGCTTCACCTTGTGCAAGGGTGCGATAAGCCGCGCCGATGCGCGTGCCCGCGCGTGCGTGCCCAGCGCGTGCGTCCGTGCGCGAGCTCGCGAGCTCGCGCGCCCACGCGTTTAGTTTTGTGCGTTCGGCCCCGCGTGCACGCTGGCAAAGGATTGTGAGCGGGGCGCGCGTGCGGGCCGAGAGCGGCGGCGTGGCGGTCGGTGCGCCGCGCCGCCGACCCGAGTTCGATTCCCGCTCGCGGTCAACACCGGCGACGATTATCTGGATTGGTGCCGGACCTCCTCCTCCCCTAGGTCGACTCGGACAAAAGGCGGCCGGGCGAGGTGCTGGCCGCCCCGCCCCCTGGTGGGGGGGGGGGGGGGGGGGGGGTGTGCCGTGCCGGCCTTCAAAGGTGCTCGCGTACAGCACTCGCCCCAACAGTCTTTCAAAGTGACGAGGGGGAGCTTTGCACTCGTGGCCGCACACAACTCTGCCTTCTAAACTGAATTAGGACCACGCATGTTTGGTACGCGTGTCGCGTCTGACACGGCGTCACTTTGTTATCTTCGGGGAAAGTTAGAAGTTGCAAACTACTTGTGAAATGGACTGCTATCACGTAAATGCAATACAGAACGTGTAGCAACGTTTACAATCATTGAGATGTTTCATCAGTTTGCAGATGCTCTTTTGCAATGCGCTAAAACTGAAAGAGCGTAATGTTTTCTTGTGTTTTATTGGCAATTTCTTGTTTTCTTTATCTGTACCACTGTATTACTCAATTATGTCCACAACACGCCGTACCAAAACCAGAAGATTACTCCATTTACCGAGCGTGTGAAGTCTGGCAAAACAGCCTTCGATCGCGGAGTAAAACATCCAACGTTAGAGCGACTTTTGCAATTTGTTTTGAATCACAATTTAGTCTCTGTTTGCCTCTTCGCGGCAAGCAGCGAACACAGCGATGATTACAACGTCAATAGCGGAGCGAGGAGGCGCTGTCTTGTTTTACTCTCACGGCATTGCCGCAGCCTGGTCGCCCGCCACCCCTCACCGTAACGGCGGACTTCGAGCAGCCCCCGGTTGGTCCATTTCACAATGCAACTCAACTGCAGCATTCCCTAAGCCAAATCAACAACAACAACAACAAAACAACCCCGATAACAACGCCTTTAAAAAGAAA